TTATCCAAAGAGCCTATATTGATTCAATAAATCAGATACCTGGTGAGCAAATATCAAATTTTCTTTGTGCTGTGCTGTTATAGCTTCAAAGGTGAATTATGTAGTAACTGACTACATAACTTTCAGAACAAAGAAAGATTCACCCAGAAAGAGTAGCATGTAAGGCAAATAATTTTTCCCCAAATAATCTAGGACTTTGACACTTTCACTTTTTAGAAGAAAAAGCATTCAGTAAATCAAAAATTACACATTCTTCTTCTCTCCCCTGTGTGCTTCTAAAATAGATTACTGCTAAAATGCCTTGAGGTAATATGCTGACAGGTGCTGTGTAAACATATACTGTCACCCCCAAAAAGCAATATATCATATGATACTGGGCACCCTGCTATTGAATCATTTTTATTGAACTCTGTAGGAAAAAGCCACAAGCAACACAACGATGTTTGGAACACTTACCAGGGAACCGAGTGGAATGTTAAGTAAACTCAAGGGCTTGTTTTGAATGTGTCAGTTTATACCAGTTCAGTCCTGGAGGCAAGAGTTAGTTATTTCCCTTCTTATCAACCACTCTTTCCACTCTCTCTGCAGTAGGCCAGCACCAGTTGTAGAGCCTCAGTCCTCCCAGCTGTACCATCTACAGTCATGAACAGTGGCCAGCTAACAGCTCGCAAGCAGTACAGACCTCAGGAAAGAGAGGAGAACATGCTATTGGCCAAACAGGATGTCTTCTGCTAGCGCTAACAGGAGTCAGGAAAACAGCTCTGCCGCCTCAGCTTGCAATGTCTCAAACACAACATAGATCACTGCCATGGGGTAAAAGCCTCTTGCTGGCAATAATTTACTATTTGGCATCTGAGGGAGGAACCAATAAACGTGATTAAAAAACGCCCTTTGTTCACGATTACATGTGAGAGTCACAAAACTGATGGCATCTCTGACCACTCTGTAGGATAGAAAATTAAACATAGTACTCGGGTTAACAAAGAATTGGGTAAATAATTGGAGTTTAACATTTGGAAAAATCTGCCAATAAGCACTAAGGTTGTCATCAAGAGGGTTCTCGACTTGTGTTTCCAACTCTAAACCGCCTATAAAACAAAGACCACGTGGTGACCATTCGGTGAGGCCAGGCAGAAGTGGGTAGCAAGAACCCTCCACGTGATAGCCACCAAGCAGGATTTGTCATTTAGGTCCTTTCATTGAATGGTGATTCTCAGTTCTTGAAATGTTTGAAACTGAGGCCTTTCAAGTGAAGAAGTGTAATCTGAGTCATATTCTGTAGCTTTCTTTCTTGGATTTTGTTTTGTTTTGTCTTCACCTTGACATGGGCTCACTAAAAGCAGACCATACATTTACTTAATTCATTTAGTTTGAGATAATGAAACTATAGCTCTAGGTTCACATACCAATGTTTGCTAAAGTCCTGTGCTACTTACATCAAGTGAATCTTCACTATGGAATATTACAGACAGCCTTTGGCCCCACCGACCACCTTATTCAACATTCTGTTGGGGAAATTCTTTTGCCTTGTCCTGGGATTTCTGTGGCAGGACTTCTGCTAAAGCACCGGTTCTCAAACTTTCATGTGCATACACAGCACCTGGGATTTTCTTAAAATGCAGATTGTGATTCAGTAAGGGTGAGGCTTAAGATTCTACATTTCTGAGAAGCTTGCAGGTGATTACGCTGGTCCAAGGGCATACTTTCAGTAGCAAGACACTGAACCTTGGCTCCTTTCACTGCCACTTACTCCACCTCATAGGAGGAAGACTGATTTATGTATTGATGACATAGCAAGACTGTGACATTTCTGCATCCGTGATCCTCCTGTGGAGGGAGCTTTGGGGGCAGAGGCCACTTCTTGCATGTGGCCACCTCTTTAGCCCCCTTCCTTTGCAGCTGCCCTGCCGAGGGATGTAGTCCTCATCTCCATCGGGCAAACCTTCTGAGCAGTTTCTGCCTGCGGGGACGGGAAACCTACAGCTGGGCCTGCGACAGACAGGTCTGGGAAGTCAGTGGACTTGCTGAGGCTGCATATTCAGAAGCCTCTTTGGAACTGGGTCTAAACGCTGTTCTTTTTTAGCAACACAACTGATTTTTCGATCCTTCATTTGAATCCTGGGTACGGTTCTCAGTTTGTTCTGAACCCAGTAGGGAGATGAGGATAATTAATTTGTTTTTTATATTCCAGTCCAGTCAACGCTGCTAAAACCCATGCTTGCTGATACAGGAGCTCCTCCTGGCCTCTGGGATATTAGAGGGTAGGTTATCCGATGTGTGGAGTCTTCAGCTCCTTTCCCCTTCGGTGTCAAGGAGAGGGCAAGGGTGAGTGTTACTGTGAATAAGGTTTTCAAAATGGGGTCAGCTGTGCTGCTCTGATGCTGGGAGTCCTGGTTGTCAGGACCTGCAGAGCAGGTTTGGGCTGCACTTAGAATGCTGGAATTCAGCTCAGAAGGGCCTGTTTGACCTATGGACTCCCTGGGAAAGCCCCCGGGTGTGGGGCTCCTCTGCAGGGGAGAACAGGATGCTATTTTAAGGTGGTTAGAGGCTCCGCAGGTTGGCATAATCAGCCTTTGGTGAGTTAAGCCATAAAGCCAGTGCCTCGAGTTTTATTTATTTCAATCCCTTTGGCTCTCCTTTTTGGATACCTTGTAATGTCCAATTACCCCTCTCCCCCAGGTTGGAAGTTTGCCAGTCACTCAGCCTCACAAGGTGACCATTGCCTTTAACCATTGTCTGACCAACAGTCTAGGCCTAAAGCAACCATCCAATTTTGTGTTCTCTTTAATAGGGATTATCTTGACTCACATGAGCTTGGAATGGGAGGATTTGTGGCATATTTGAAAGAGTATTGGCTGTAATGTCAGAAAGATCAACATTCCAATATCAGCCCTGTCAAGTACTAGCTGGGTACCTCAGAGTCTAGGGCTTTTTTGATCTCTGAGCTTCTGTTTATTCATCTAAAAAGTGACAAAAATGTTTAGGGTTAAATGAGATAACATAAATAAAATGCCTGGCCAAATAAATGGTGGCTACTATTATTACTATTATAGAATATCATCTCAATCTTCAATTCTTGCTATTCTGCATGCTTTGTGAATGCATTACCTGCAATACCCACTTTCTGCCACAATTCCTAGGAAAACACACACACACACACACACACACACACACACACACACACGCCTCTGGATTCAATTGCTTGCTAATTTTAATATTAACCTCACAAAAATAAAAGTCAATGTGCCTTAAAACATCATGTACCCAGATCAGGATTATCTGTTGTGTTGACAGCTCTAATGTTTTCTTACATTCTCTTGATCTTCGATGCTGAATAAATCTATGGAAAGATGTCTCTGAGGACTTAGCATTTGCGGTCAAGAGCAAACCTATGAATCTGAGTCTTAATAGGCAGCCAATTTCTGATGAGTGAACTCACCCACCAAATAATTTGAATCCTTCCATATTGAAACAGAACAGATACTCAAGCTTGGTAATAGGATGTTACTTCTTACGGTAGAAAACATGAGGAAGGTATTAAGAACATTAAAATGTGACCTGGCAGGTCTGATGGTAATATGCAAAGTTGTATGTTACAATAAGAAATATCTTCCTTGTCTTTCTTTAAAACACCCATAAGGAAGTCACATAACTGGTCTTTCACACTCTTTACTTGTTGCAATTTCTTACAGGGCATTTGGAAGTCACAGTTGCAAAGCCTGGCTAGTGTTTACTTGTCCCTCAGATTCCTGCCTCATTTAAAATGAGATGTTACCCTAGGTGAGTGCTCCCAATTACCTCAGCCTGTGCTAAGTGACAACAGCAAAGACACCAGACCCTGCTCCCATCATCTCTTATGCAAAAGGACCCCATCAGCACAGAAGCAACTCCCTGTGATGAGGGAACTCACATCCTCACAGTCCTAGGAGCCAGGTTGGGGTAAAGGACTGCTCAAAACAGCCTCTGTAGCTTGAAACCACTCAGGAAATTGGTTTCTCCCCAGAGTTTTTACCTCGGATCTTAAAAATGCCTTTAGCACGTACTATTTCAAGACGAGTTCAGAGCCTCGTTCGATTAGTGAGTTATAGCACCCTTACTGGAGGTTTCGGATTATCCCAGGACTCTTCACTGCTACTGGAGACCTCCCAGCAGGGAGGAACCTGGAGAGAGAGGGATGATGCCTGAGGGGGCCAAGCTGAGCCAGAAAACCTCAAGCTGCTTCAGCTTGTCTAGGTTTCCTGGAGGTATCAAAGGTGTTGAAATAAAACCAGGGAATGGCCAGCAGCCTGGCTATTGTGAGACATTAGTTCAAAGGTCCCTTTCTTCACATAGCGCAACCAGAGAATTACTCATAATTCACGGACAGAGGGGCTGGTCCTCTTGCTGTAGCCCTTTGGAGTTTTCATTTCCTTAGTCATGTTCATGGATGGGTGCTACCCCACCTTCATGGAAAAGAATACCCAGGGGAACCAATGACAGCTCTTTTTTTAAAAAGACTTTTGGGTCACCAAACATAAATGGTTATAACCACTCAGACTCAAAGCTCTGATTTCATAGAAAATCCAGAAATGTACATATTTAGCAAGTTTTCTTTTTAGGGATAGGGATGGGGAGGGTAATGTCATTTGACAAAGACCATGCTGAATCTAAACATCTGAACTGTTGGGAAAATAGCTTCTTTTAAAAAATATTTGATTGAGAGAAAAAAAAGTAAAGGAATTGATTTAAGATAATCTGGCAGTCGGCAGAAATGTATGCTCTATGAAGGCAGGGCTCTTAATCTGTTTTGTTCTCTGACGTGTGCTCAAGTGCCTAGAACAATGCCTGACACCAAGCAGAAATTTACTGAATGAACTCACTTACCAACTTTTTATATATGACCAGTCATGCTATTAATTAAATTATCAAAGCAAGGATTTATTATTGTTTAATCATCTTAAGGCAAAGAGGATTTCATTTATTTATTCATTAGCCAAACTGGTAGATTCCTTTATTCTTTTTCTAAACAGGGAGTGGGGGAGAAAAGAAAAAAGGAGATTTCCACTTTTACCCATGTGATACAACATTCGTTCTTTTACATGAAGAGAAATGCGGGAACACATTCAGATAAGTTTAAGCCTAATTGCTCAACTCTGTCCTGCTCTTGACATATGTGAGGCAAGTCAGGCAGGTCTCAGAGCCTCTCCTCCAACAGAGTCTGAAAGATCAGTGCCGCTTTCACCTTGAAACTCTGTCATCTTGGAGATCTTTGCTTTCTAGCCACACAGACAGCAGGGAGTATGGAGAACTCACAAACACTTTTAATTGCCTTGGACCAGCAGGGACACGCTGCTTGAACTCACATCCCCATTGGTGAGGACTCAGTCACCTGATTCTGCCCAACTGCAAGGAAGGCTGAGAAATGTAGTGAACTTCATCTCTTCCAGCTTAGCAGCACAGACCTGATGTTGACATTTGGTTTAAAATGTGCATTGTTGCTTTTTAGAAAAGAAATCTGGTAGCGGGCAAGGAGAAATTCTATCATTTGTATCTACTAGTGTATTTATTTTTTTCAGCCAATTAAAAAGGATTCTGGAGTTTTATTCCCACTGATTGGCATTTCTTTTGATCGTGTTCAATGTCTTCTTTCCAATGAGTTAGTGGCACATTAGCAGTTCTCATTATTTTTCCTCTACTTTTATGAACAGAGTAAGCTCTTTGATTTCCTTGTTGCTGGTTTCAGCCAGCCACACTGGCATGCAATCTGGACAAATGTGTCATTAGTTTTCTTTAACTGATCCTGGAAATTGACTAATTATATTTTCAAAATAGATAAGGTTTGCCTCCAGATTGCAGAATAAGAAACTAAGAACATTTTACTCAGCAATTCAAAAGAACATTCAAAGGTTAATAAACAACAACAGCAGCAGCAGCAAGAACAACAGCAAGAACAAATAATTCTTTGCTCATGAAGGCATAAGGTCAGGGTACACCTTTCCTGGTGCTCAAGTACCTGCTTATCATGTTATATATATTGAATAAAGTGGTTTGAGTGGTTTCATAACTTGTATCTGTCTGAGTCTCAAACTATGGTTATATAGGTTGCTTTGTCTTTTTGTCAACAATGTGAATTTTTTTTCTATATTAATAGAACTATATTTTTTTACTTATTAATAGAACTTATTTTTTTATATATTAATAGATTTGCAACAGTGATTAAATGTATTTCCTTATCTAGGCTGAAATCCTGATCAACTTACTGTGGCATCATCACCCTTTTACCTAATGAATAATTTTAGTGATTGTTTAAAGCAGCCCTGGGAGCCCACTGGATAATCCCTGAAATGGAGAGAATCTGATTTGCACAAGAAACTTTGCCCAAGTTAATGATTTGGGAACTGATCAATGGCCTCAATTATAAGGGTAAGCTGCCAGATTCTTTTCTTACCTCTCAGCAGATGGCACCATGCCTTTCTTCTGTTTTCATAATGTTATTTTGACTTTCCAAGTCCAAGGACAATTTTTGTTGTAGGAATTCTAGTTTTAAACTTTCTGGATATTTTCTTGTTTTAAACAATTTTGAGCCTTGGATATTTAGGGCTATCTCTTTTGCTTATGTTTTGAATATCTCCTAGAGGACCTTGTACAAATATTTTGAGTTGGATGCATGTCTATACATAGGAAACTTGCTGACTTTTAAGTTTTTTCACTTCTTTTCCTTTTAAAGTCAACACAGTATTTTTACTTCTGGAGATTTCCTCTATGTATCCTGTGTATCCTCTACACTGAGCCACTCTGTATTTTAGAGTATGTGTCACAAGCAATTGAGAGGACAAAGGAGTAATTGTGATAGGCTACTATCTAGAATCTCCAGGGACCTGAAGATTGGGCACATTTTCTTCCCTCACCCTCAGAATAGTGATGGTGGAAAGAAAAGAGAAATTGAGAAACAATGTGATAAATTTAACATAGAAATGTGTTAGGAATAAGATCTGATAAAAATGAGTAGAAAAACTTGACAGTTGTTAACTTGAAAAATGTTGAATAACACAACATACAAATCTATGTGGAAAGTTTTTATGACTCAGAGGTAATAGATTTTTTGATGTGCTAAATATGACATTTTGGGTGGAGAATAGGAGATGGAAGGGAGACCAAAGAACAGAAGGGAAAAGAAGGTTAGATCTAACTAATTTTTAAGCTATATAAGATTGTTGTCTTATTGTCAGACTATATATATCTTAATCTAATTAATCTAATTTCCGCTATCACCAAATAATATATATAGTATATGTTTCATTATGTGCTAGTCAATCCTAATTTACTTTATTGACCAGAAGGCAGGTGTTAGACAGGCTAGTTTCCTATGCTATGTCTATTTCCTCAAGAATTTCATGCCTTTGTTTAAGTGGCAATGTGCCTAGAATTACTTGCAGCTAGGGAAAGCCATGTGACCCAATTTTAGCCAATAAAATATAAAAGGAAATCTAGTGGGTGGAGTTTCCAGAAAATTAAATCCTCCTTTTTCTAATATAGGGGAAGAAGCTCAGCTGGCATGTGTCTTTTGTCCTTTGCCCCTCCCCCTTCTTCCTGCCTGGAATGATAACTTGATGCCTGAAGGTGCCAGAGCCATGTTGTAACCATAAAGACAAAGGTCCTATTTTAAGGATGACAAAGCACGACACAGAAGGCACTCGGATCCCTGAACCATTGTCTCATCCCTGGACTGTTCCCTCTGAGCATCCTTGTAAAATGAGGTTCATAGCCTACTGTTGGCTCAGGCCACTCTAGTTAGTTTTTGTTCCCGTGCAGCCAAGAGCAATCCTAAATGGCTCCGCCTAATTAGACAGTGGTTTTCTAAGTCCCTTGATAGACTCTTTTCTGCTACTTCCATGATGAGACTGGAGGCCAACAGTTCTATCGTCTGCTTCTGTCTGTGCCTAGAATTGGCATTGCTATTCAAAAAAGCGTAAGTTACCTTGAGAGATATCTCCTCTCAGGTAACTAAAACAGGTGGCAAAAAGAAACAAAGATGCTATGCTTTGTGTTGGCTTGTTTTTTTCATTTGATCCCCTCGGCCACCTTCAATCCTCCTTAACTGCTCTTTTGGAAAATGCTTTGGAACCTAGTCCTCCCCTGTTCTTCATCTCCATCTCGTGCTGTCCTCCACACCCCTCTCCCGCCCTGCCTGCTTTCATTATGGGTGGCCACAAGGGCACAGCCCTCTGGACACATTTTACCATCTGTTTTAGAGCTCAAAAGACATGAGAGATGGTTTACTTCAATTCTATCATTTCGCTGAAGAGGAAGCAAGGAGAAAAGATACTAAAGTAATTGCCCAGATAAAAACCTCCAAATGAAATAAGACTTATTGGAAGTCAATTGTGTGGAACCAACACAAATTCCAATGGCAAACATTTACAGTGCTTTTACTACATGCCAGGCCTAGTGCTAAGCATCATTTATGCCTTATCAAGATTTAATCCTCCCAACCACACCATGAGGAAGGATTTGTAAACATCTTCATTTTACAGATGAGGAAACTCAGGCACAGAAAAGTAAAGTAACATCTCAAGGTCACATACCTAGTTATTTTCACTCCAGGAGAGTCTGAGCAATGAAATACCAAGCTGCCAAGCCTTCATCATAAAGGATGTCAAGCAAGTTAGTCTATAGTATCTGCCAGAATGGACAGTGAAAATAACATCTAATTAATCTGTCCCAGACTAATAAAAATTTAACAAATTATTCTGGCACATATTAATCACTTATAGGTAGTTTGAGGATAGTAAGATTTTTTGTTCATTCACTTAATAAATGAGAGGCTATTATATTTCAGGCATAAGCCAGGCCCTGGGAATATAGCATGGTACAAGTTCCAGTTCTTGCCTTCAAGAGTCTTACAGTCTATAGGAGCAGAGTGAGAAGTAAACAGTTAAGAAAGTGATTTCCTGGAGGATCCTATCAAAGCACATGGAGGAGGAACTTCAGGCAAGATGTCCTGGAGGCTGTGACATCTCAGCTGTCACCTGCAGGCGAAGCAGGATTCAATAGGTGAAGCCGGGAGAGGCATCCTATGCATGGGGAATAGCATGTGCTGAGGCCAAAAGAGGAGAAAGAGAACAGTGGATCTTGGGATGTCAGGCAAGGCGTGTGGCTGGAATATTGAGACCACATGGCTTGAAATAAGTTGGGGCGCTGGCGAGACAAGAGCAATGGGAAACCATCAAGTGGCTTCAGTCAGGCGAGCAATGTGATTGGATTTGTATTTTAGAAAAATCACCCTGGCTGCTCCATAGAGGAAATATTCAAAAGATATTTTTGATTCTGCTTTCTAAAATTTTCACTGTCTTTGTTTCTCACATTCTTTGCTTTCAGACCATTCATAATAAATACTCCTCAGAACATTTAAAGAGGAAAAACCAGATTCTTTGCTTTTTCCACAAACATACCAGGATCCAGGGGTCAGACAGGAGCTGAGTTTTCCGTGCATGCTTAGACAGTTTGGTATGAATTGCTTCAAGTGAATAAGAACTACTCTTATTATGGATTCAGGACAGAGGAGTATGTTGTATTTTCTGCTTTCATGCACATCTGCCTGTGTTTGTTCAAAGCCTTTGATGGCTGAGCAGGAAGTGCAATAGAGTTTGTGGTGACAAATAATGCACTTCATTTTCCAGACTTACAAAAATTGAAAACCTTTCTTGCTCTTTCTGAAAGGCCAAAGGTGCTACCCTTAAGGTCATCTTTCTGAGTGCCTTCCAAGAACATTCTTACCACTGTTGAAGACATTTTTCTAAAAATATATATATAAAAAATCCAGTGACTGCTCTGTGCCACATTAAAGTTGTGACACAAAAATGATGGTAGGTAATTATGTAAATGGAAGCTTTCTCCAATTGTGCTAAATAATAATGATGGTTCTTGTGTTCTTTGACTCATTTTTGTGCTCCGATCCATTAACATGTTTGCAATTGCCCCTTCTAGACAAATGCGGATGAACAAAGCCTCCTGTTCAGCATCATATCCAACAATGACTCTGTAATATAGTTCATGATATGATGCAAAAAATGTTGAAATGTACAATAAATGTTGAAGAACAGGGAAGGATGCTGAAAAGGTGAAACTTTTTTCACTTGTTCATACCATATTTATCTGCAGCAAATAGGAAACATTCAACTTGATCAAACATTCAACTTGATTCCAAGATTGCAGTCTCTGAGTCTGGTTATGATCTTTATTTGACCTCTCCAGATGACATATTTATTAATTACTTTAGAGTATTAGAAAAATTGGTGAGTTAATGCTAATTCTATTTTTTTAAAAATTCTGGTATCTTAGAGGAAATAGTCCCATATGATTAACTCTATATTGGATGCAAAGTTATGGTTAAATCAGTGAATCTCTCTTTAGGTTCATAGGTGGTAAATGAAAACAGTCTCTGTAGTTGTTATTTAATGTTCTCATAAACAGTAATGATTTATTATTTTTAGTACTCTTCCTTCTCCTCTTCCTCCTAATTCTTCTCTAAGATCTGTCTGCACTGTTTACTAGCAGGATGGCTTTGAGCTATTTCATCTCTCTAAGAGCCCATTTTCTGCATTTATTATAGATTCTATAAAATGTAGGCAAGTAATCCTACCACAGAGCATTGTTGTGAGGATCAAATAAAATAATATGAGTGAAAGTATTTTACACACTGTCTAGCATACATTAAGTTCTCAGTGGAATATGAGCTAAGTCACTGCTCTTTAGACAGCAGAGGTAACATCTCAAGGTTAAATGAAGGTGAGGAGGACAACAGATATAAGGCAAGTTCTTTTCCTAATATTTTTGTTCACTCCCTCCAAATGCAAAGTGCAAAATGTCAACAAAATTGTTGCTGTCCATACGCACTTAATTTTAGGAAGGTTAATGAGAATTTGAAAGAAATTTAAAATGAGCAATTGGTATATGCTGTACGAGTATGCTATATTTTCCCTGGTATAGTGGATGTGATTTTCTTTTTTAACTTTTAATAGGAAGAGATGTCACATTGCTTTACTTTAAAAATATCAAGTTAAATCTGGCTCTGGGCCTCTAATCTCTAAGGTGTCCGGTTTTGGATCTCTAAGACCAAGCAAGAACCCGTATAACAAATGTGACCTTGAAGCATGGGTGTAACTGTCTTTATCATTGCTGTTTTCGGGCTCTGCCTTCCACTTTATGGGAACTCAACCTTGCCTAACTTTTCAGGTTCTCCCAGTTGCCTCCTCCTTTGTCTCGCTTGGCCGGTGCCTCGCCTGAACCTCATTGCCCCTCTGTTTCAGGCTTGAATGATACACCATCTGGCAGGATATGGGATTTGATTTCCTGAGTGGCCCCAGCAGGCTGGACGGTGGTGAGATGCAGCTGTTCAGGAGCGTGGGCTCCCTGTGGGGTGAACCTGGACCAATGGCGAATGGGAGATAGGAGGGAGACAGGATAAAGTGCCTGCTTTTTAAAAAACCTTTTCTAATTTTAATTTTTTATTTCTTTTGCTCTTATGAACTGCTGTAAGGTGTGGCTCCTTCTCGTGAATGGTACTGGAGAACATCATCACACCAAGAGAATATATTGCGGAGCAAGCTGGGATCTCTCTTCATGGCTTGCGAAGAAGGATACAGCTCATTGAGTCACATCGTTTCACATCTTTCCAAGCCTCCTTGTCCTTTGTCCTTACCCTCACCGGCCTAGGCTGTATCTCCCAAATAAAGTTTTACCACCTTAATCCTTGCCCCGGGCTCTGCTTTATAGAAAAAGGGGCGAAGATATCCAACAGCTGTTCTCCTAGCAAGTGCTACATGGAAGTGGGGCATGAATCTTTGTTATAGGAGGGAAAGCCCCTCCCCAAATTGCTCCCTTCACCGACTAATAATATTCATCCTTCCCATAGTAGGACAGGTTCTTTCTTCTACCTGAACCCTTTTTAGACTCCCAAACAAAGCCTGGTGTGGGGGGGGGGGGGGTGGCTTCACATCATCTATTCTCGCCCTGAACATCAAAGTCATGAATTACTTTTTGTAGAGAAGATCAGACTTGGGACTCAAGCTTGACTATTGTCTTGACATGGAGAAGGAAAAAAATACTTCTTCCTTATATCTCTGAGAATACAACAGAAAATAATCTCTCCTTCGATTATCTTGCTGCACTTGCAACTCTCTGTCTCAGAGCTCCTCAGAGGAATTTAAGCAATTGAAGAATAAAAGTGATTCATTAAAATCCTACAGAACGCTTCAAAAGTGCCAGTGGTTTCTGCTTGCTTCCTGGGACTCTAAGATTTGTACTTTCTCTATGGAAATGTGAGCTTTAAATGTAATCTGCCAAAACTGTCTGGCTAGACGATGAAGGCAAAACTACTACACAGGAAAGAATTGCTTTTCTGCTCCTTTTCTCCCCAAAGGGAGGATGATAAAGTAACCTAAAAAAGAGGAGTAAAAATTCCATTTCACAAAGACATCAATTCTTTCTAAATTTTTAGATCTATTCAAACTAATTCTAAAGTTCATATGAGAAAATAAACATTCAAGAATTGCCAGGATAATTCAAAAGAAAAAGGAATAAGGAGAGATAACTAGCCCTAGAGTAAACGAAACCAGCCACAATGTCACAGTAACTTAATAGCGTGGTATTTGCTGGTGGAACAGACTAGAGTCCAGAAATAGGTATATGTGGAGGAAATCAAGCCCTTTTAAGTGTGCCAGGTCTTGGTACAAACTGATAAAACCTTTTCAAAAGACAATTTTTAACGTTATCTAGCTAACTTAAAACTGCACATACTCTGACCTAGCAGTTCTAGTTTTAGAAATTTATCATGTAGACATACTCAGGAACATTCAAACATGTGCAGTAGGTACAGCTACATGTGTTAAACACTTCTGTAACAGCAAAATAGCAAAAACAAAAATTAAAGGCAATAAAATGGAAATGTTCAAAAGCAGACAATAATAAAGTGAAAAAGTTAAGTAAATGATGAAGTAGACAGTAGACATACAATGGAATATTAAACAGCCATTTTAAAATTCATGAGGAAGCTTTATATGCATTTTTATGGCTTGGCCAAGAAAGTTTAAGTGAACAAATTAAGGAATAGAATATATACATATACAAGAAAGAGACTGTATATTCATATGTATATATGCACACAAGCATATGTATGTATATATATATGTGTATTTAAGATAGATAGTCAGACCCTCCCATTCTAAGATAGCATGAAATGAGTTGAAAACCTTCCTTGGAATTTCCTTTGTTAGCAATAGAAAAAGCCTCTAATTCACAGCAGCTATTCTTGTTCTCTACCCTCCACCGCACACCTTTGGACTGGTAACTAAATATATAGGCATATTTACATTTCAAAGAGATGAAGCAAATTTGCCTAATTAAAAATTTAAAAGTTTACAAAAATATTTTAAGTAACAATGCTTACAGTAAGGACTTATTTATCTCAGTTTGCAATATGTATTAAATAGCAGAAGACTGAAAAATACTTGCTCTATATTTCTGACCTTCAACTCCTGGCTTCAAGTGATCCTTCTGTCTCAGCCTCCCAAAGTGCTGGGATTGCAGGCACGAGCCACTGTGTACAGCCTTCTCCATTTCTGGAAATATTTCTTTGCTAAGGGAGTTAAAAATATTTCCCATTTCTTTGCAAGAGAACAATTTATTATCATTTAAATCTTGATAGCTTTTTTTGTATTTCCTTTTGTAGATTTCAAGATTTCAAATTCACATTACTCAGTATCTTCATGGAACCTCATATTTTTCTTCCCATATTGTTACATTTTAAAAAATAAGCCAAAAAGACTGTATCTGCTAATATTTCAAATGAGATGTCAGTGACCATCTAAGGAAAGAAAGCATATTGATATATGAACCAATGAGGAAGGAAATATTATTGGGAATAGTAAGAAAAAGCAAACATATTCTCATTTATAATCTTTTATCAAATACCTAATTTTTCTGAAGCTACATGTAAGTTTATTAAACAAATTAAAATCTCATTAGTAATTTGTCCTGGGTTCTCTTGTACCTGAAAATCTTTATCCAACCATGTATAGTACTTTTCAGAAATTACTTTCTGGTTTTGAAAGCATTAACCTCAGTCAACTGATGGTTTGCTGGTCAATTATTAGACCAAAGTTCAGTTGCTTCATAGCTTCCCATTTTATCGTTCAGTTTTTCCAATGCACTTTTTTTTATCATTTAATACTATAGTTAACTGAATAAGTAGTAGAACCTAAAAATAATGGAACTGAAAAAATGTCGAGAATTATTTTCTTAAGTCTCACCTTGAATAGAAACCATGCATAGATAGTAATTATCTTATCTAGTCTAAAATTTATCAGATGGAACACATCCCATGGGTTGTTAATAAATATCCATAACAAAAGAGTTTCAAGGTCAAATTGCCTCTTGATATTTTGAAAAGCACAATAGCATACTTACTAAAGGCTCTGAGAAATCCTGCACAGAGAAATCAATCTTTGTTTAACCCAGTTTTCCTCAAATTTATTTGATCATGGAAATCCTTTTCTGTGTCAGGAAACTTGGAAATGCTGGTGTGGTCTCACAAAGTATAAATATCTGCAGTCTTCCTTGTACTTTGTGACATCTCTGATCACCATGTGTATGACTCAACCACTGATCTAGTCTGCCATTTGTCATGTCCACCTGGACTTCCTCCCCCTCGGCCCATCACTACCCCTGGAATGACATCCCTCCTCTATAGATCATGCACTGAGATGCTCCCTTCCTTTAAAATGAGGTTCCTGTTGGCCACTGACATCTTATTTCAAATATCAGCAGTCTTCTTAGCTTTTAAAAATCAAAAAATATGGGAAATGACTAAAACTATGACTCCCATCTGCTTTTGCTGTCACGTTGTCACTTGAGTCTGTTTGTCACCGAGAACGTGATGAGCATACTCAGCCTGTGATGTGGAGGGTCTGGCCCTGCGCTCCCCACCTACCGGCCATCTGGGGCAGGCAGTGGAGGTGAGCCAGAGATTGCAATCCCTACAGGTGGCATTGGCTGTGATTAGAGCTCCTGGTGATACACACAGAAGAACTCTGATTTATATTTCATGCTTTATACTCTGTCTGCTGCCCTTACTTTACAATTGAGCTGCAGTGTGTGCGAGTGTAATGTGAAACTAAGTTTAGGTCCTGCAGCCTGTTCTAGAACAAATTGCAGAGGGAAGAGGTGGGGTGGAAGCTGAACTTGTACTGAACTTGTCTGCTTCCTGTTCAGTTGGTATGAACATGTTACCGAGCAGGAAGAAAAAAAAATTCAAAACAAAACAAAACAAAATCCACAAAAACAAAACAAAACAAAACAAAAAAACTACCCGCAAACCTTTTCCATTGAGATTAAAATGGCCTGGCTGAAACCTAACCTGGTCTTGCTGCAGCCAGACTTCCACACATTAGCATTTGTGTGTGTGTCTGGGGTATCCTCCATTGGCTGTTGGCAGGATGCGTTTAAAGGATAATGGACAAGAAGGTCCTAACAGTGAGGACCTACATAATCCACTGGGTTTCTCCCCTTGTCACCTTCATGGTTTGACCTCTAAAATCCCTTCCATCACTCTCTCTGCTGTGATGGTCAGACAGGTATCCTTCTCTTACTGTCTGTTGCTTTCCTTGACTACCCCACTAAAAAATCTCCTTGTGATATCTCTGCTGGGGATTAGCTACGATTCACAGATAACGATGCTTACGAGCCATAGACTCAGGTATTCTTCAAGTGCTAAGGTGTCTGATACCATGGAGCTCTCAAAGCCCATTTGACTGAATCTAGCTAGCATGTACTCATTTGACAGTATCCTTTTTTTCTCTTCTTCTTCTCTTATTAGTGAGAAAATTACCTTAAGCACCAATTTTAAGAACCAAATACACTGAAGAAGGAATTAAAATAGCATCAACATATGAAAAGTTTGGGAGGGAAGTGGGAAATGTCAAAAATTAGAAGTCGTGCAAATAATTTGGTAATCTCTGAGTATTAGGAAATCAAACTCTGGCCAATAGACAGTGCAGAATGCTTGAATAAGAAGTGACCTTGGAATGTCAACCAACCTCAGTGCTTGCTGTTTTAGAAATACCACCTGCAGAACTGGTCTTGGTAGGAAGTTTAACCACAGTAATAAACCGTTTGATGAATCTCCTGTATCCATACATCAACTCATAGATGCCTGAGTCACTCTGTGGCAATGTCTTCTTCCCCTTCTGTTGTAGAAGGAAAAGCAAAGCAATGGAAGCTTTCTTAAGTCTGCAAGCACTCGCTCCTAGCACTCCATGGAATATGACCCAGGAGAATGTGGAATTTGATATGGGCTTTCCCATGCAAGCACTTGCTCACCAGGTGCTGTGGGAAGACCTTGTCATAATAATTCATTCTACCCTTTCCTTTGGCTCTGCTTCCCTTGCTATCATATTATTAGCTGCTCTATGCTTTGCTTCTCTATTTTCCCTCTTTATAGCTAATGATTATGAAATCATGTACTTGGTCAGTTTCCTAGAGATTTAGTATGAGCGTGATGATGAGGACGAGGAAAAATCAGTTTTCTACACTCTTCCATGTTAACATATTGAAATCCCTTCCTACTTAATACATGTCTTCAGAGATTTTCCGACATTGACTTACCCATGCAGGTGGAAAGGGTCCACTTTTCTAAGTGGAGGAAAAATTGTTCGGAAGCTTCGAGGGAATTCTTCATTGAATGATATATGGTCAGCTTTACTCAGTTGCTATGAAGAGAATGGAGTTTGGCAGGGGTGATGCAAATAGTGTTAAGAATTCTTCCAGGTTGTAGGAGGGAAATGTATTTTCTCATAAGAAGTACAGATCCTCCTTAACTATTGGTTATGCCCCAATAAACCCCTCCTAAGTTGAAAATATAAGTAGAAAATACATTTAAGACGCTTAACCTAATGATCATCATAGTTTAGCCCAGCCTATCTTAAATATGCGAAGAACACTTACATTGGCCTACAGTTTGACAAAATCATCTAACACAAAGCTTGTTTTATAATAAAGTTTTGAATATCATGTAATTTATTAAATACTGTACTGAAAGGGAAAAACAACATGGCTATTTGGATGCTCAAAGTATAGTTTCCACTGAGTGCACTTTACTTTTGCACCAGCCTGAAGTTGAAAAATCCTAAGTTGATCCACTGTAAGCTGAGAACCATATGTACTTAAGATAGAACCTCAAACATGGACAGTAGTGATGGGAATGAATGAGCACCCAGTCCCATCACAAACTGTAGTATCTGCTTCAATGTCCTGCAAATTTGAAGATAATTATCCCTTGTATTGTCTCAATAGCTAAGAAGAGAATCTGCCTTAAGGCAATGCTTGATATTGGGCAGAATAGTGAAAAGGAGGTAGGAGTTTAGAAGGATGGCCTGGTTCCTTTTTGAGCCTAAAGAAAAACATTTAAAGCATCATGGTAGAGACTGGTGTTGGAAAAACCCAAAGACTTTCTAGTTGGGCTGTCATTTTGGAGGCTAAAATTCTAGCACTGGACCTGCCACTGGCTAACTATAAGCCCTAGTTTTCTGTTTGTGAAATAAGGAGGTCCAATGAGAATGATCTTTAAGATTGCTGTTACTTTTGGTTTTTAGCACGAACACATGGCTATGTGGCAAATAGAGGCACACATTTTTCAGCTTTACTCTCTACATGGCCGGTGATGAATCCATATTATTCTTCTAACAAATAAAGTGGCATATTTGAATAAAATATTAATGTTTTCAAGATAAAAAGTATCACCCTTTCCTCAGAGATTAAAATTACATATTAATATTTATTTTGCTACATTTTCTCATTTAGGATGGGATCCAGAGCATAAATATTCAAATGCAAATGGGTCTAAGTTTTAATGGAAAGTACCATGCTAAGAATCTTATGAAATTTTGGATGCCAATGAGAATTTAAGTCAGAAAGATAGATACAACAGACATTAACCAGATAAATAATAGATTTATAACTACTTAGCCACAAATGCAAATTTGAGTAGTTACCTAAAATGAAGTAAACATATTTTTTTTTACATTTAGCCTTTATTTATCACTCTAAATAATATTCTTTTCCTGATACTTTTGCTGTCTTTTAGTTTGCTATGTATAGCAATTGGCATACAGTATTTTTTCTAGAATTGCAAATTTGCTGAACTTAAAATCCAAGTATAATGAAATTTACTTCTACATACCTTTTCAGAACCCAAGAGAATTTTGGTTCCAAAATATATTAATTGCACAAGATGGAACTCACTCCTGTGAGAGCTGAAATACATACTTTTCTGGTTTTTCCTCCCTTGGTTTTAGACCTCTATGAAGTTGATTCTCTGTCCTCTCAACTATTTCTGGTAGCCCCCGAAGTGAATTTTGTATGTAGTGTTCAGTTTCCATGTGCCTTCCTTGATTCTTATCTTCTTTTTCTACTCCAACGTCTTCATGCCAGGTATCTCCATCTCTACCAAGAGCCACTGCACTTGGTATCTCATGACTTGTCAGGCACTTTTGCTTCTCACGGGAGGATGACCGTCTTCCATTGGGAACTGCCTTTGCTGTACTACAGGAGCCCATAAATGTTGCAGGCGATGGTGTTCTCTTGTGATATGTCAGAGAGTGCCTTTATCTCTTTATGGTCTGACTGTTTGTGTCTCCAGAATTTGTATGTTGCAACCCTCATCTCAATATGATGGTATTTGGAGGAGGGGCCTTTGACAGGTGATTAGGTCATAAAGGTGAAGCCCTCATGAATGCAATTAGTGCCATTATAAGAGAAGTGGCCTAGCTATAGGAGTGGCTTAGCTATAGGAGCTACAAGAGAAGCTAGCTAGCTCTCTTTCTACCCTGTAAGCATACAAGAAGTTGGCAGTCTATAAGCCAAGAAGGTTCTCACCAGACTCTGACCATGCTGGCACCCTGATCTTGGACTTCCAGCCTCCAGAACTGCGAGAAATAAATTTCTGTTGTTTATAAGCCACTCTGTCTATGTAATTTGTTATATCAGCCCAAATGGACTAAGACACAATGTTTGCATGCTACTCTCTGTTAAAAAAGTACAAAATCATTGCTGCTTGTCCCTCAACAGAACTCTTGGTAAAATATTATTTTGGTTTCTTATCTTCACCTTTCACTATAAAACTCAAACAGGCACAAGTCTACAGGGGATTAACCTGGGAGATTAATGCCATGTTAGAATCAAACTGTCTTTCTTCTCCAATGACTAAATCTTTGTCACACCTAACTCTTCTCTTAGAGTTAGAAGTTTCTCAGGTCTTCATCCACATAAATTTCAGGCATACCCTTCTTCCCACTTCACACACATGCAAGATGAGTCTGAAACTCACTGGAGAACACAGCGTATATGCAATTTGAAGGCCCCTCTATATACGAATAAATAGAGAAGTAAAAAAAAAAAAAAGACATTGGGAACTGTAAGGGATAAAACACATGACACAGACATTGGGAACATGGAAGGGGCAAAACACAGTAAAACACATGACAGAAAGGGAGGAGAATGTTTTGCAATAATACCTTGGGAAAGATCAAGGAATTTATGGGAATATTAATCTAGAATATTACACTATGGCCACCGGGAGGAGGGGTGGAGGAGGGGGGGGTTGGGAGGAAGACAGAGCAAGAGGGAGTGCAAGGCAGGATGTGTATTCGAGGTGGGACTCAGGGAACAGGAGTCAACAATTTCTGGGTCTTCAATTATAAAAGCATAGATGATACACCATTATTCATTTAATAATTAACAAGGATTCAAGAAGTGATAACACTGAATTTGAGAAAGGGTATGAGGAACTCTGACAGCTAATTTATTGCATTGTTTTGTTGTCCCTTTTTAATTTCAATCTTTACTGATAACAATTTTCAATACATAATAGAAAATTAGAAGTAAAATATTGCTTTATGCAGTGTACCAGGCAGAAATTCAGGTCAGAACCATTCCAAAGACATTTTGTTTAGACCTTTTTACATGTTTAATTGTACTTAATGAATGGTGACATGTCTGTAGCTGGGAGAAATAGTAACTGCCTTTCACATGCTGTGGGTGACTGTGCTGTGCTTCTTCCACTTCTCTGTAGAAGGCACTCTGAGTCAGACTCAATTTCTCAAAGGCATTTAGAATCTCAGGAACATACTTCTCTTCAGGCTTTTGGTTTTAACAGAATAGAGTAGATAGAGAATTGTAGTGGCCTCCATTAAATTGTCAATGATTAAATAAATGACTTCACAAATACCATTTTCCAGTCATTAAGAAAATTACTTAAATAATTTACTTTCAGACATAATTCTGAGAGAAACATTTGTCCCATTGTGTTGGAATAAAAATATATCTGTTGTTAATATAATGGTGCCAAAGGGTTTTTTCCTTATGCATTTAAAACCAATTTTTCAGATTTGCTTAGTTCATTAATTGAATTCCAAATATGGCTTTTTGAGTGGAGAAAATCAGAAATAACATTATATTTTAATGACTGAATGAGGAAGGGAAGGATTCCAAGAGTATATTGTAATGTGAGCTATCTACATTTATCAAGTAAGGACATTCATTCTTTTACAAATATAATCTTTAACTTTATTTTCTTGGCAATGAATAAATATAGAAAGGAAATATTAATAATACTATCTGAAAAAATGAATCTATATATATCATCCTAGAATATATTTAGTATTGTTCCATGTTTATTTGGAAGAGGAAAGGAATAATTATTTAGTGTTTCAAGATATTTTATAGCAAGTAGCTGAGAAGCAAGTAAGGTTCTTAGGTTCTTTTTAATATATATTAAAATATTTGTTAAATATTTTAAAAATGAAGGATGTATATTGGTACATGAATTTTTTCTTTTTTTTTCTTTTTTTTGAGACAGAGTCTCACTAGTCCCACATAATAATGTAATTTTTCTCATTTTAATGTTTCCTCCATTTTCTAGATGTGTATATGCAAATTAGTCATAATTTTATGAGCATGTTACACAGGTTTCAACTGCATAAAGATTTATTGTAATTCTTTTGGTTTGAACTTCCACCCCAAACTCTGAGAAGCATACCTTAAAGTCAAATGCTTTGATATTTTAAACCTTCTTGTTCAAGGTACAAAGGTCTTTTAATAAAGACACTTGCAAAGTGCCACTTGGGACCTTACCAACAGGAGACCACTTGCTACTTCAGGAATCTCCAAGGTGATGCTGGTATTTCTACTTCTTAAAGGCATATAAAATCCAGATTCACTATCTTCACTTCCTTAATTCTTCCACCTACTGACTCTGCCTTCAGACTTTTAAACTGAACTTAACAAAGGCCATCAAATAGCTTTTTAATTTGCCCAGCTCAGTTTTCTTTAGTCTTGACCTCTTTGCAACATGTGATTGGGTCTGGATCATTCCTTGAATGGTATAGTCCCAAATGCCATAATCCCAAATGTTGAAATCCTGAAAGATCAAAAGCCCTAAAGTCTAAAATCCCAAGAATCACAATCATAGGATAGTTGCATCATGTTAGGTGGAGGTATTACCTTGTTACTGTGTTTATTTGGAAATTAATTATGGTTTAAGGAGATGCAAATGGGTGCCAATTTGCCAAGAAGAGGACTTGTGGACTTAATTTCAGTTGTCAGCTTGACTGGATTAAGGAATACCTAGAAACCTGGTAAAGCATTATATTGGGTACGCCTGTGAGGGTGTTTACAGAAGAGGGTGTGAGTCTGAGTAGGTTAGGTGGGGAAGATCTGCCCATGTTGGTGGGCATAATGCAATTAGCTGAGGGCCTGGAGAGAACAGATACAGAAAATGAATTGATCTCTGTCTGAGAATTGGGACAGAGTTTTCTTCTGCTACCTTGGCATGAGAATTTCATGCAGCCTTTGAACTCTGGGATTTAACACCAATGGCCCTTGAGGTCCTGAGGCTTTTGGGTTGAGCTACACTAGTGGCATCCCAGGGTCTCCAGCTTTTAGATGGCTTGTCATGGGACTTCTCAGCCACCATAATCATGTCAGCTGATTCCCTTAATAAATTCTCTCTCAAATATTATTCCTTTGTCAACTTAAATAACAGAGACAAACTCTCTAAAAGAAAAGATGCTTATTTGGAAATAGACCATTGCAATGGGAATATGCAGGCCATAGTAAACTATGTGCATATTCAGGAAAGTAAAGGAAGACAAAGGGTTTTAAAGGAAAAAAAGAAGGAAGATTATATAATTGTTTTAAAATAATTATCCTTGGCTACAATGATCAATAACAACAATGACATCAGCCTGAGGTCAAACAAGTACACATGTCCTTGGGGACACATTTTTTTGTGTGAGGTTGTGATGGCCTTGGTGCAAGGTTTTTGCAGAGTCTTTTTCATTACCAAGCATACAAGCATCAGAACAATTTCTTCATGGCCTTCTCTGGCTCTGTTTGTCAGGGTTTTCTTAACATGAGTGACTCCATTTTGACTCTGACAACTTTCACACCTTCTTAATGTATTTCTTACAACACAATGGAAGGGACCTGTGAAATTGTTCCCTCTCGAGAAGGCTGTGATAAGCTAGGTACACGATGCTACTTAATAGCAAGAGATAAAAGTTTAACGTATAATTATTATTGGTGCTGTGAAACCAGAAAATCAATTATGTTGCCAAGCAATAGCCAGACTTTCAAATGAGCAGCATATACTTAAAATATTTGTAGACCACAACTACCCTCCAAATACATGTGCAGTGAGTATTTTGAAGGTCAAAAAAGTAAAAACACAGAGAAAAAATGCAAGAAATCTCCCTTGCTAAATTATTCAATCATTTCCAACTTCTGCCTCTTCATAGCAAGCACCATGTTATGTTGTCTTCAAAAATTGCCCTTTCTCAGACAATAAAAAGAATTTGAAAAGCTCAGTGACCTTCTGAATCAAGACATTTGCTGATATTGAGGTTCCTCCATTGTTACAAAACATATTAAATGGTGAACTATTCTTGATTACGGATTCGACTGTCAGAAAAGATGGACTTCTTATATTTACCACTAAAACTAACATAGAAAAACTAGCACATGCTTCACTTTGACTAATGGATGGTACTTTCAAAACTGTCCTCATTATTATTATTACTTTTACCAATAATGCCCCTGTTGGATTAGAAAATTCTAGAACATGTTCATCTGTTTCTGTATTAATGACTGGAAAGAAGTGAAGCACTTTATAAATACTTATTTAAAAAATTGGTGGACTTTGCAGAAGAAAATAGATTTCAGTTGAATCCCCAAATAATGACAGATTTGGAATTAGGTATGATCAAGGCTTCTAAAAGTAAATTTCAAGGTGTTACCAAAAAAGTTTGCTTTTTTCCACTTAGTCCAATGCATTTTGCAGAAAATTCAGATGAGTGGATTGGCCCTGTGATATAACAATGACAAGAACTTCAATTTAAAATGAGACATTTGCCTGCACTGGCATTCCTTCTAGCTGATGACATTCCAGGAGATTTTAATGAGTGAAAGCCATGTTTGTCTGAAGATGCCAGTGAAGTTAGACTGGAAATTGTCAGCAGTACTTTTTAAAGTTTGCTGTGTATTTAATCTTTGCATTATTTCTAATACTGGAGGTAGAAATTATATACAGACTTTTAGAAAGTTCTAATTTGTTTTATGCACTTTTTGCAAATTTGACTCTATGAA